ATATTTTAATTGAAAAAGAAGGTGCCTAGTTATATAAATAAAGATATCAATTAGTATAAGTTGAATTCTTAACATTGAGGAAGCAATCAAATTGATCATAATGATTCCAAAACTTGATTTCATGTTATTTAGTCATACTGAGATTACAATTTCAGTCTAAATAATGTTAATGTGACATTAAATTATAGATAGAATTAAATAAATCATTCAATTTCACATTTCATTTAACGCATTATCTAATGCTACCTAAATTGAGGTTAAGACATCATAACAATCATCGCTCCTTTTTACAAGTCCTCTATGCTTCCTCGTACTTGTTGGGACGTGGAATAGTCAAAACTTTTGCTTCATCTTAGGCTGGAAAAAGTGGTTGAACATTGTTTTCGAGTCTTCTTAGGAACCGTGCGGAATTGTGGTCCTACTCTACAGAATTTTATTTAACACCACTGGGACCCAGATTCCGTAATTTTAAAATCTTAGCCACGTTTGACATAATTGTTTTTGAAAAGAATGGATTTTTGAATCGTAAATTTTGAAAAAACGCGTGGTTAAAAAAAAAAATAAAAATTTTTTTTTTACATTTACATGAAATGTATTGTTAAAAATGAGCATGAAAAGAATGAGAAAGAATGATTATCAAATAAGCTCTTCAAGGAAAAAAAAAATTATTTGTTTAAATTTATATTGCGTATTTTATATTTTATTAAAGATTTGACCACGAGTCAAAGACATTTACTGTCTAGTTAGAGCTAAATAGAACTGTCATTTTTATTTTTTTAATTAAATACTTAAATTGTACTTAAATATAAATTTATGATTTGAAGAGTTGAACCCTACTAGTAGTACGGAAAAAGTTGATTGTACAGCATTTCTTTTATAATTTTTTTCACAGTCTCCTCGCAAAGGTGAGGTCTGTCGTTATTTTAATTGCGGAACCCACCAATTGCATTTGTGTGTGCTTTAGACCATGCTGTGAAAATTGATGTACTCGTAGCATTTCCTAGCAGTACACCATGCTCTGTACGGTATTGTGTAAAGTCCATACACAAGCAATATTCTGGAAAGTTTTGATACATAAATAATTTTCTACCTCCAAATACGGGGGATATGTCCGACTTTACAAAATATCGCATTAAAAGCAGTATAAACTAAAGGTCAAAATTGGCATGCCAAATAATTGCAGGAAAATTCGCTGATTAGTTATTGGATTTTACTAGTAAGTCAAGCAAGTTTCAAATGATACGTCGAGTTTGACATCTTTAGGCCACACGAATGCACAATTTTGTTAAATTAACATCAATTAGATTTAACTTATATATTTAGTTTTTTGTTCGGACAATTATGCTACACTAAAATCAAGATTAATATAAAGTTTGACATAATGTCACGTGATATTCCATCATTGGATGGTTTAAAGCACATCAGCTTTTCATCCAACTATTTACTGCCACATATAATCAAGCTTTTGGTCAAATTATTCTGTCAAAGTAGTTATGTTCTCATTTGGATTGGGATGAAGGGGTTTATTTAGGTGAGATTTTTGAAAAATTTCATGAACTTTTCTTAAGTGATGACTTTTGAGGATTTTGTGAATTTTTTATCGATATATATGGAACTAATCGAAGTCTTTCGTAGATTTTTATGATTTTCATTTTAAATTTTTTATAAACTTCTGTAGAATTAAAAAGATTTTTGAAGGCTTTCATAGAATTACGTGAATCTAGAAAACAATATGAAATTTTCATATACGATATGGTGGTTCCGCAGTTCCCTTTCACGTCCCCATATAATAATAAAAAATAAAATTAAAAGAATAATTTACTCTCATGACTTCTTGAGACTTCTAAAAAAAATTTTAATTGAACACACCTTGACTACAATTGAATATACCAATATTTTTAGAAAGTTTTAGAAAGTCTACATTGAATATCTCTAAAACTTTTAAATCTCAAAAAAACTTTAAAAGTTTCAATAGAATGTACCCCAAAGTATCTGAATGGTGGTTACTATTTTTGACTTCCTTTTTATCCTAATAGATTACTGAATCACTGGGATTCATAGGCTCGAGGTTTAATTAAGTAGATTTTTCCCCATATTTCTTTGAATTAAAATTTTTTTAAAAAAAAATCCAACATGTTAGGTATTGCTTAATGTGCGTATCAAAAATCTTCACATATGCATCAAATTTTAACTAATGTTAAAATCTATATGAACAAAGCGCCAATCTGGGAGCTCATTTGGATCCGTTTGATTGCAAAGATAGAATTTATGTGGAAAGAAAACGAATTTCAGGGAATTGAATTGCTTAGAAATTTTTTTATTGGGAATTTTCAATTATTGTGTTTGATTGGTATAATTTTCCACGTGAAAAATGTTGAAATAAAAGTATTTTTTGCTATTCGTTTGATTTTATTTTACATGAAAATTTTCAATTAAAGGGATAGAATTCACTAGTATTGGGAATAAAATTTGTTTCCATTGGAAAAAAAAAGACAAAAAAAAAAGAGTAAAGAAAACCATCTATCTTTTGGTATTCGTTTGATTTTGTTTTACATGGAAATTGTCGACTAAAGGAAAATATTTTTTTACAATTAGGGATAGAATTAATTTCTATTGCTAAAAAAAAATTAAAAAAAAAAACGTGTTGAAGCAAAACCAAGAAAATTCCAGCTTCCAAGAAAACCAAATTCCACAAAAAAAATATACTATCAAACAGCCAAAAGTTAAAGTTGGAATTTGAATTCTATTTTCCATGAAAAATATAGTGCCGTCAAACATGGCCTTAGAGATTTTTATAATCCAAAATGTAGCCATTATACAGTACAAGGATCCAGAAAGGCTTGTAGAAATATATTACCAAAAATGCCCTTTGTACTATGGTGTAAAGTGGGAGTGGTGTTTTTATAGAGGGTTGTTGAAATAAAATCAAACATATAGATTGGAGAAATGCAGTTATTTCAAGTCGGGCTGTCTTAGGGATGGCAATTCGAACTGTCAAAACCGAAAACCGTGGTTAACCGAACCGAATGGGGAGAAAAAAACCGAACCGATGGTGCAATGGGGCGGGTATGGTATTTGATATTGCTGAACCGCTATGGGGCGGGGCAGGTATGGTATTTACACCCTTGCCCCGAAACCGAACCGATTACCCGTAAAAAAAAAAAAAAAATTAATAATAATTATTGGATTTCCACTATTTTTATCCAGCCCAAAATAAAATTCTGCCCAGCCTAATACATTCACTATACCAGTCGTCCAGCCCAACTCCCCACAGCCCAGTTACCATAACCCATAAGAAATTATAGAATCGGGTTCGGCCTATATGACTTATGAGAGTGTAATTGTAACCCTACAGTCCCTACTCCTTACCCTTAACCCTTACTTCACAAATCAGTGAAATCAAACAGACAAACACAGACCACACTCACGCAGCCGGCAACCACAGCTCCAGCCTCCACGCCTGACGCCTCACTGCCTCCAGAGTCCAGACAGTTAACTACTTAACTTCACGACATCACCGGTTCAACGCACACAGCCACGGCTTCATTGCTCCTGCCTCCGACAGTCCGACCACTATTTGAGGTAAATGAAATACCGAATCATCTTCTTCTGCTTTCGCTGTATTTGAGTTTTTCTATATTTGAAGGAACTAAAGTGCACGCCCATGTTGAAGTATGGATTTAATTCATTGCATTAGTATTATGGGACATTAGGGAAAATGGGTTTTGCAAAGAAAGTCTTTCTTTTGTATATGCCTGTCATATCATCTCAACCTTTATAACCTTATATTCCTGTGCTCGATTCGAATTTTTGTGTTATGGATTTGATGGTTTTGGATACGCTAGTGGATGCTCGTATGTATTCTAAAGGTAATTAATTTCATTATGGGTAGTGAATGGAATCAATTCATATTTTTTAATTTAAGTACTTTCAGTGGCTAGTCATTTTTTTTTTTTTATTGTTCTTAAAAACGGAAATCTCTTTTACAAAAATCATGTTATCACCACTTCAATTTATTTCATATAGTAATTCCTTGAATAGACATAGGTGGCAAGAAGAGAAGGGAAGGGACCCTTAGACAGAAGTAATTACTTATTTTTTAAGCTATAAAAATGTATTTATTCTAAAAGAAACTTATAAGTAAACTTTCAGAGAAGCAAGAATGCTCTGGAGTTGTCTCATCAAATTCCATGTAGCTATTATTTCAAGTGCTGGTTTGTTTTGCTCATTAGACTCTTCAAAGCAATAGACAGGGGCTTGCCAGTTTGGATCCTCGAGTACTCTCCCAACCTCGAATGTCATAAAATGTGCAATTGTCCCCGTGTGGAAATACCAGTAAACAGGTGTTTTGGTAATCACATCTTCATAGTACCAAACAATCTCAGCCTTCTCCCATACATTGCAAAGGAACCCATCCTTGTACTGCTGCCCAAGATAATTAGCTCCCTCAAGCCAATTAGGTCTCAGAATTCCCACAGGATCTTGCTTGCTCGAGCACACTTTATCAGAATCCAATGTATAGTCATTTGAGGATTTGTCTTTTGATGTTTTCTTAGTAACAAAGGAGGAGCTTTCTTATGATCTTTATGAAATTTATGACTTTGTTTCAATTTCACTTGCTTGATTTAAAAAATCTAGTGAATTTCTTGTCCAGAAATGTACAAGCATATTTCAAAATTCTCGTGGTCTTCAATTTATTATTATGTTTTTGTCATTATCTTGTGTTAGTCATTATCTATTGTTTATTTTTTTTATCCGAATTCTATTTACTGCTTTAAATATAAGTTGAAAGTCTAGAGGACAAAAAGTTGTTTTTGAACTAAAATAAAATAGCCTCCTCACATATAGTTTTAATATAATTATTGAGCCTTCTGATTTATATTGATATATAAGTTATTTCTCTATCGTTTAGCATTCCACTTTTGTAAATTTTTCACCTAATGAAATTGATGAATGCCTAAGTTTTTGAGTTTGTTGATTTTTTTTTTTTTTGAAATTAGATGTCTTGCCAGGGGTCAGAATCTTCCGTTCCTACTCCCCCCGCTTCAATTGGAAGTGCTTCTGCTTCAATTCAAGTTGGAGATACATCAACAAGTACACCAGTTACTTCACAAAGTCCAAGTGAGGTAAATGCAAATCCTATTCATATAGATTTAGGTGATGATGAGGAGATGACTGAGGAAAATAGAAAAAGAAAATTGACCTCTTCAGTGTGGCAGCATTTTAAGCTACAGAGAATTAATAATGTGTCCAAAGCAATTTGCAGACAATGCAACAAACAGTTAGGGGGTGAGTCGAAAAATGGGACAAGTCATTTACATGCTCATTTAAATAGATGTCCTCTTCGAGGTCAGAAGGATGTCAAACAAATGTTTTTGAATCAATTTAAAGAACCTAGTGGTAGGATTGCAATGGGAGCATTTGATTTTGATCAAGAGAAAGGTAGGACGGAACTTGCAAATATGATCATCCTACACGAATATCCTCTTTCAATGGTTGAGCATACTGGGTTTAGAAAGTTTTGTAATACAATTCAACCATTATTTAAAGTTGTTTCTCGTAATACCATCAAGGCTGATATCTTGAAAATTTATGATTATGAGAGAACAAAAGTAATGGGCTTGTTAGAGAGGACCAATAGTAGAATAGCAGTCACCACTGATATGTGGACATCCAATCAAAAGAAGGGATTTATGGCTATCACTGCACATTACATAGATGATTCTTGGAGGCTTCAGAGCCGAATTTTGAGGTACAATAGTTTTATAAAATAGACTTTAAGCTACTATCGTATTTTCTGAAATTTTAAGTTATCTTACGAACTTTTTTTCATATCCATACAGATTTATATATGTCCCTTGTCCCCACACTGCTGAGTCACTGTCTACTGTGTTAATGGATTGTCTATTTGATTGGAATATTGATCAGAAATTGTCCACATTGACTGTTGATAATTGCACCACGAATGACGCTATGATTAACATTATGTTAGATAAGCTTTCTCTTGGTTCTTTATTGTTGAATGGTGAATTTTTCCACTTGCGGTGTTGTGCACACATATTGAACCTGATAGTAAAGGATGGTTTGGATGTCATTAGCCCGAGTGTTGAGAGAATTCGCGATAGTGTTTCATATTGGTCAGCAACACCAAAAAAAAGTTGAAACTTTTGAGGCAGTTGCACGACAAATGAAAATCCCTTGTGGAAAAAAGTTATTATTAGATTGCAAGACTCGATGGAACTCTACGTATCTAATGATTCATACTGCTTTGCTTTACAAAGAACTTTTTCCTCGACTAAGGCAAAGAGAGCCTCATTACAGAAGTGTGCCGAGTGAGAGTGATTGGGAATTGGCTACAGAGATTTGTGATAAGTTGGAGATATTTTATGAAGCGACTGAATTATTTTCAGGAACAAAATATCCTACTGCCAATTTGTACTTTCCCAATATTTGTGACATAAAGTTGGCAATCCGTGATTGGAGCACATCATCTTGCGATGAAGTCAAATGGATGGCGTCAAGCATGAAGGAAAAGTTTGATAAATATTGGAGTGGCATGCATGAAATTCTAGCTGTTGCAACTATATTGGATCCTAGATACAAGATGAAACTAGTTGAATACTATTTTCCTTTGATTTTTGGAGATGAAGCTCAGGAAGAGGTTGAAAAGGTTAGAGCATTTGGTCATAAGTTGCTCAAAGAGTACAAGAGACCATATCGTTCGACAGAAAATACATCTTTGTTTCCATCATCTTCACAATCAGAGTCGTCTACTACTAGTGGAAAACATTCTCGCATGGCTGGTTTTGATACATTTGTTAGCCTTTCTGTTACTACTGATCATGTAAAAACAGAGTTCGATATTTTTCTAAATGAGCCAGTATTGCCTAGGGTGGACGGTTTTGATCTATTGACATGGTGGAAAGCAAATTCAATAAAATATCCGACTTTACAGAAGGTTGCAAGAGATTTATTAGCCATTCCAGTATCTACTGTTGCATCCGAGTCAGCATTTAGTACAAGTGGTAGATTTGTGAGCCCACATAGAAATAGGCTTCACCCGAAGACTTTAGAAGCTTTAATGTGTGCTCGAGATTGGCTTTGGTCTGATATTCATGGTAGGATGTATTGTTTTATGTTTGTTATTTATGCACTTTCTTTTATTGCTAATTTTTTCCTCTTTTGTGTGTAGAAAATTCTGGTCCTTCATCATATTCCGGAGCTTGTGCAAAGTTTGATGACGAGGATGTTGACGAAGAGGTACATTTTTTTGTTTAAATATTTAGTTAAAAACATTATGGATTATTGATTTATTACTCTACTTACATTTCTTATATACTATATAGGAATCGACTTTGAGTTTTGACGGATGCCAGTAAGAGTTGTGGAGAAGAATGAAGATTGAATATGAATTGAAGTTGAAGCTTTTTGAGTTATTGAATATTGTTTGTTAAATTTGGATTTTGCGTTTGAGAATTGGGATTTTTTTGCATTTTCATTTGGGATGTATTGTTGTTCGTTACATTAACTTAGTATCATGTTTTTGTTTTCATTTTACTTCGACGGATGGACCAATTAAAAATAATTTATTTTCGTGGTTATTAACGACCCGAACCGAGCCGAACCGAGATACGAACCGAAATCGAACCGAACCGACTTTCGTGGTTATGGTGCGGTTATGGTATGACCAAAAAATTGATGGTTCGGTGATGGTTTTGGACGAACCGACCCCGAACCGAACCGTTGCCATCCCTAGGCTGTCTAATGAAATTTATTGTATAATAACTGTATCTTGGATTAAAATTTGATAAAAATGGCTCCCAGACAGGTTGTAATAGTACATTGTTGATGTTAAAATTAGTAAGGCTAATAATAAGCTAATTTTAAGAAAAAGGGGAATTTGTTGTTGAAAAAGACCACAAAATACGTTGAGAAAGTGTAATGGTACCATAAGTTTTTACATGAATTCGCTCTTTTTTTTTTTTTTTTTAACAAGAGTTCTACTAAACTATTTATACATAGTTTTAGTCGAAATCACATCAAATCAGTCAAATCAGCTACAATACCGAGCTTGGAACTGGGGTCGCCGAATTCTTCTATGATTGGTCGATGAGGTCAGTGGCCATGTGTCAATATTTTTATCAGGGAATGATGACCTATAAGAGGCTTGAGGATCAGGTCTTCGGATTGACGGTTATGTGCGGTGATGACGTCACTTGTGGCAAGTGTATATGATTGATAAAGTGATGTGACAGGAAGTAATCATGATGTTTTTCTGAGATAACGACGGGCGAGTCCGAGCTGAGAGCAGTGACCAAACTCACACCTGCCTGAGGTGGAGTTAACGAATTGTTTTTGTTAGATCGGAGTTCGGTTGTCAACATATATATTTACATATAAGTTACTCATTATTTTAAATATTGAAGCAAGTATAGTTCGCTAGTTAAACGAATGGACCAGATTTGCAAGCAAATTAAAGTTTAGTGAGTTAATTGCGTCAAATTAAAAATGAGCATTTAGATCTATGAGCAAATGGAAGTTGGATAATTTGATTGCACTTAATTGAAAGCTACGTGACCTAGACCCACATGAACTCATGAACACCGCACAATGCATATATTTTCAATTAATGCATGATCAATATATATATATACACACACACACACACACACACACACACACACACACACACACACACACACACACACACACACGTTTAAAACAGCTTTTAGAGGAAACTGGTTTAATGTAACTTTCTTTAAAAGCATTTTCAAAATAAGATCTTTTTCAAATATATATAGTGCTCATCTTATATTAAGTACCAGTGATGTTCATATTAATTCATTGGTAAATAATAAATTTAATTCAAATGTTAGAACTCACTAAATTTTTATTCATCAATAAATTAATATAATACATGCACTGGTACACATTGTGTATGTTGAGGGGGGGGGGTGGGGTGGGGGGCAAGCGTCGAAGAATGATTGGCTGAGCTCAAAATAAGGTTATTTTTAAGTAAATTATTTTGTCTTCTATGTTTTGAAATTATTTTTTAATAATGAAATTTACTAACTTATTTTTGAGTAAAGTAACTTTTAATTATACCGGTTAGCTTGTACATACAAAAGCCTCGGGTTCAGAATTTTGATTGGTCACTGAACTTATACGTTGGTTGACAAATGGTCCCTAACCTTTTATATTCAAATTTAGTCAATTAATTTTTTTGTAATGAAATTTGCGTCCATCGGGCCAAAACTAACGATTTTGCTTATTTTTCTTTGCCCAGTGGGCGTGAATAGAGAAGCCATTTAAGTCCATGTTTAGCCTCCATACTTTAAAATTCATTTCTTCTAAACTCGTTTTCAACGCATCATTTTATAAGATCAACAATTTATCAACTTTTAAACTACATTTTCATCAACTTTTATATTAAATTTTACTAAAAATATGATTTTTAACAAAACCAATCAAGGGCTAACTAAACCACATCAATTTTATGTTTTCGCTCAAGCAAATCCGATAGTATGATCTAATAAATAGATTTGTTAGTTTGGCGGTTAAAAATCGTAATTGTTATTTTCAAAACTTTAAATTTTTGTCGAATAGTCATTGTATTTCAACATATTTTCACTTGTGAATCAATCTCCTTCAATTTGATAATTAACAATTTTGATGATGTGACAAAAATAGGTATTAATTTTTCAAAATGAATTGGAGTGGACAGATTGGAAACTACATTAAGGCCTGTTTCGATGGACATTCGTTTCTATTTCTTATAGAAGTGTTTCATGAGAAAATGCTCTTAACTGGTGTTTGAAAACTAATTTATAATCGATTTTTTTTTTTGAAAGAGCTTCTAAATAAAGTCACGCTACTCATCTTCCTACAAAAAGTTCTCATAATTAAATGAAATAATTTTACGAAATTAATCAAACAAGTCTAAAATAACTTTTTATTTTAAAAACTCATTTTGACTTCTCAAAAGTAACTATTCAAAATAAAATTGAATTTTTGGTGACCGTTGAAAAACGTGATTTTTTTATTTGCTAGGCATGAGGACTTATTACAAAAGATGAAGGATGATATCGGAATATAAACAATTTCAAGGACTATTTACGAACTAAAGTAAAAGTTGAGTGTCCAAACATATAGATATGTCGTGGAGTCGGGGTTGGGGTTGGGGTTGGTGTTGAGTGGGTTAGGTGGGTGAAGACTGTGGATTCAGACTCAGATTTTCTGCTTAAGCAAATATAAAAACAAAAACATGGCGTCTTAATCGTACAAAAATCCAAAGACACGACACAAAATTTGATTCTTTCGATTCAATTAACCCAAAAAATGGCCTTCTCGTTAATTTCACCGCCCTCCCGTATTTCGATTCTTCAGTTGCCATAGCCACTCTGCAGTTTGTTGTTCCTCCTGAATGCTACAGTAATACCAAAAAAAAATATATTTATATATACAGATACACACACACACACACACATATATACACATTTTTTGAGCAGTAGTGTTGTGGGGATTGGGAATGGCTTCATCGCTTGTTTGTTCGTGGTTGACGGCCGCATGCATGTCAATTTCTTGTGAGAATGACTCTTCTATTTCCATGCTCAGCCACAGCTCGACGACGTCATTGTCGAGTCGCCGCCGGAAAAGGGCTTTTGCGAAATGTGCTTTGTCGGAATTATCCAGTATTCGGAACCTTGTGAACTCTTGCTTAGCATTCGAGCCTTGCAATCGGTTTTGTAAATCATCTTCTAAAGAGGTTGTCTCTTCTGAATTTTTATTAGGAGACGGATCCGGGAATATTCGTTTGCATCACAGGCGGAAGAAAGTCCCTCGCGCCGCCCGTTCTGGTAATTTTGCCCCCTGTTTCGTCATTAATGTGCAAATGATTTTGTGATTGAGCTGAGCTTTGATTTCAGTAAATGGAGTACACTAGATATCGAAATCTGAGGCTAAGAATCTTGCGTTCGACACCTCGTATAATAAATTAAGATACCAAAATTAACAACATTCGAATGGGTAATGATTGAGCGAAGTTCATTGTTTATGTATGAAACACTTTTTTATTGGTTCTGTTGGGCGGGAGGGTAAGTTTGGAAAAATAGCACTGACAATCTTCATACAAGCGGGGCCCCTCTTATCTCTGTAATGTGAGCTCTGTTTACGAGAGCTAGGAGTGCAATGGTTCTGGGTGGGTTAGGTTAGCTTTGTTGATCTTTAATGGTAGTTGCCAATTTTCTTGCTTATCACAACAACTTGCATTAGCTTGCAAAAGAGTCTTGGAACAAATACCTTACTGTGACATACTTGGCTGACGACGTGGGAAATTTACAATAATTTCATATGGACACATGGTAACTTGCCTCTGGAGCCATGAAATTTGACCGAGTGTTATTAATATGTTAAATTGGATTTTGATTTGCTTTGGGAATACTGAACATGCTCTCTAATGGTTTTTTTTTAATGGGTTGTTATCGATGCCCTTGGGTCCTATCTAAATTATAGGTGAAGCAATGTCCATAGCAGTGCAACCTTCCATGGAAGCTGCGGTGAAAAAGAAACCTCCAACCAAGCAAAGGCGAGTGGTTGTCACAGGTATGGGTGTGGAGACGCCAATTGGTCATGATCCAGATGTGTTTTACAATAACCTGCTTGAAGGTGTTAGTGGCATTACTGAGATAGAGGCGTTTGATTGTTCTCAGTATCCAACAGTATGTCATCACAGTCTCCCCTTTTATTGTTTTGGAGCAACTGTTTTTAGTTTTGACTACAGGGGATTTGAACTGCAGAGAATTGCTGGAGAGATCAAGTCATTCTTGACAGATGGTTGGGTTGCTCCTAAACTTTCTAAAAGAATGGACAGATTCATGCTTTACATGCTGACCGCGGGAAAGAAGGCGTTGGCCAGCAGTGGAATTACAGAGGAAGTGATGAATGAATTAGATAAAACTAGATGTGGAGTCCTGATTGGCTCAGCCATGGGCGGGATGAAGGTAACTTCGGAATATTTAAAGATTAGATGTGCTTTAGCAAACAAACAAAAACAAAATTTTAAAAATGAATCTGATTAGAGCTTCCTCTAGCTGATGGGATCTTGGATTTTCACTTTTGAAGTCCTAAATGTGAAGTGCCAAGTTTTCTGCAATCTGGTTTGCATGTGTTTTGGAATGTAAACATGGAGCATAGAAGCTGGATAGGCACTTTTTCTTTCAGGATCTTACATTACATAACACCAAAATATGGTATCCTTTGCCCTGAAATGGATGGCTATTTCCCACTCTCAGTTGCTTTGTTACTTGAACAGGTCTTCAATGATGCCATAGAAGCATTACGGATATCATACAGGAAGATGAATCCATTTTGTGTACCTTTTGCCACAACAAACATGGGTTCGGCTATGCTCGCCATGGATCTGGTTAAATAAATTATATGTTCTGAGCTTAGCAACTTGTGATCTCAATAACCTATCAGCATCTCGTAAGATTTAATTAATTTTATACTCCAGGGATGGATGGGCCCAAACTATTCAATATCTACTGCTTGTGCAACAAGCAACTTCTGTATACTGAATGCCGCTAACCATATTATCAGAGGTGAAGCTGTAAGTGGTTTCAGTTTCTTTTAAGCTCTAGAGTGGAGCTTCCCATTGTATGATGGTTCTGTTTCATTTTCTTTAAAGAATCAACTGGCAATTGCCTAAATGTAAACCACCTTCTAGTTTACTGCCATTTTTAGTGATACTAGTTAGGAATTTGCAGAACATGATGCTTTGTGGTGGCTCAGATGCAGCAATCATTCCAATTGGTATCCGTTTAAATTTTAGTTTCCTTATTTTTGAAAAACCACCATTCTTGGTTTCCTAATCATAACTCTTCCTTGCAGGATTGGGTGGCTTTGTTGCATGCAGAACACTTTCACAGAGAAATAGTGATCCTACAAAAGCTTCACGTCCGTGGGATACTGTAATGTTCTACATCTTTCTCTGGATAATTACAAGGTTCAAGGAAACATTAAAACAAGGATGATAGACATTTTATCTGAAAATATGATGAGAATCAGACTGTTAATTTTAAAATGATATGCAATTCCAGTTCACATTATAGACATATCTCGTCCTTGCCAAAGACCTTTAATAAACTGTTTCCATGTTTCTATCTTCTAAAGTAAATTTTCAGTGAGTGAAGTGGTCTTCATATTCGCAGTTGTGAAATTTGGATTCACGTGTCGGGATAATTGAATTATTTGGCGTCGAACTTTGTAAAAATTATTGTATTATATAGCTTAGAATTAAGAATCTACCACTTAAAAAAACCTTATGGTTGATAATGATGCAAGAAATTCCTTGATTCAGAGTAGCAATATCCCTATATTTAAATTTTGTGATCTTTGACAGAACCGTGATGGGTTTGTTATGGGAGAAGGAGCTGGAGTATTGCTTCTGGAAGAACTTGAACACGCGAAGGTAATCTAAAAGCACTATTAGAACGAGAACATCCTTTTCTTCTGCATTAAATTATTTCGTGGTGGCTACAAGGTTTGCATTTTCCTTCTGTATTGAGATAAATTTTCCGGTGGCTAATCTATTCTTCAAATATATTTCCAATTATATTTTGGATGAGTAGAAAAGGGGGGCAAATATATTTGCTGAATTTCTTGGTGGAAGCTTCACTTGTGATGCTCATCACATGACAGAGCCTCATCCTGAAGGTACTATTCCTTAGTTTTCTTACGAATTAGGAAATCAATTATTAAGTGAAGAAAAGTTGAGTTCCCGTTTTGAGTTCATAGCTCTCAAGTATCTATGTCATGCGTTTATTTTCCACTGGGGGTGTTGTTGGATGTTTCAAGTCTCCAGTTATTAATATTCTAATTTCTATAAATATTTTTGAGGGCCAATGTCTGGTTAAAGTTCACAATATCGACATTTTGATAAAATATGACAACCTAGATTAAGCTCCTGCTTGGTGGGGACCTAGATTAAGCTCCTGCTTGGTGGGGACCTAGATTAAGCTCCTGCTTGGTGGGGACCTAGATTAAGCTCCTGCTTGGTGGGGACCTAGATTAAGCTCCTGCTTGGTGGGGACCTAGATTAAGCTCCTGCTTGGTGGGGACCTAGATTAAGCTCCTGCTTGGTGGGGATTAAAATCATATTTTTAGTAGATTTTGATAGAAATTGATGAAATGTGTGGTTGAAAAGTTGTGGGACTTATAAAATACGTGATTGAAATGAATTGTTGATTTGGACTTAGATTAAAATCTAGATTTTAAGCGGTACCAAATGGGGGCTAAGTGGATACTCCATCTAGGCCTAATTTCTTGATTAAATTAATGATCCCTTTAATCTGGTGAGTTTTCAAACTTATGTGATCGATCATATAGATAGTTCAAACCAAGCATATTGATGGACCAAACCTCTAGATGTCAGTTGACCTAGATAGACACATTTTGTGTATGAATATCAGACATAGAGCTTATGACTTGTATGGAACATTTTGTGAGTACGGAATTAATTTCCTTCTCTAATGAGTTGGGCAGAACGTGTCAATTCAGTTGGACTAAGTTTTTGTTTTTAGCATTGAAACATTTGAAATGCAGAAGGACTTACACTTAAACCAAGAAGGGAATATTGCCACCCCCACCCCACCCCACGTCAAAAAAGAAAAGAAAGGAAAATATACAGTAGAAAAGGAAATGTAATTCAGAAGTTATTCGTATTAATCATAAATCCATGGGAGGAGGTTGACATAAAATTACATGGACCCAGGTAATTAGAAAGGATTTGATTGTGATTTACCTACGAAAGAGCCTCAGAAGATAAAAAAGCCATGGTTTTAAGCCCTAGTAAAAGAATGAGACAAGGCTTTGTTAAGTTCAGCTGTACAAATTGTTTATAATTTTTGACGACATAACAACTTCTAATAACTTTTACGGTGGATATATTAACCTGTCGTGATGTTTGTCAGAGTATAGATCAGTATTTTTGCAATTTAACTATCATAATAATTAGATAGACCCTAACAACAGAAAACTTTCCTGTAAAATTTCAGTGAACACTTTATGGTTCGGTACAACAGCCCTTATTGTGATCTCTTTCTTGACCTTTTCATTTTATTTGTGCTTATCAACTAAAATCCTTGTTTGGTAGTGCTATCAAGTGCTAAGTTTATCAAACATCATTTTTAACCACACATTCCTTAGGATGCGCAACTTTTATCTACTTTTTAACCACACATTCTTGGGTCCCATTGCTTATAAGCACTTAAAAGCTTAACCTAGCAAGCACTAAGAAGGGTGTTCTTATGTTTTAGTTGATACTTTGTCTTTTGTTATTCAGTGGGGCCACTACCATAATGATTGTGACAATTAATGATGCAATATTTTCTTTTGATGTATGCAATGCATTCCTTGAGTGTAGGATGACTAATTAACTCCATGAAAATAGTGCAACAAAGAACCCGTGAATCAGTGTTTTACTCACTTGACTCGAAACTTTAACTCATGCATGCCTAAAAGCAGGAACTGGCATCATTCTATGCATTGAGAAAGCTCTAGCTCAGTCAGGAGTACCCAAGGAAGATGTGAACTATATAAATGCTCATGCAACATCTACTCCAGCTGGTGATCTTAAGGAGTATCAAGCTCTTGTTCATTGTTTTGGAGAGAATTCAGAGGTTTCTTAGTAAATACAAGTTTTTTTCAATTTTTTTTCCCTGTAGTTGCTTGGTATCATTAATGGCTTATTCTTCTTGTTTGCAGTTACGAGTGAACTCCACAAAATCTATGATCGGTCACCTGTTAGGAGCAGCTGGTGCTGTGGAGGCTGTTGCGACTGTGCAGGTTCCTTGCATCTTATTTAGTTTGCAGAAGTCACTCAGAAATCATAGCACATCTTCAGCTTAGTCAGCCTCATTTCTCTCTTCATGGCACTAGCTAATATAGCAGATATGTGTGCATTGCATCATGGTGCTGTTGAATACTATAAGTTGAATGAAATCTATAGTGTGCTTTATTTATTTGATGTTGGAAAATTTTTCTTGCGCCCGCTGAGGCTGTTAGGCTTACATTACAATATGCATAAGAGAATAAGCCATTCCTTTTCCTTTGGGGAAATTTGAGGCTATCACAATGGGAGATGTCGACAACGTGGAGGAGTTGATGGCTATATTGGGTTGTAGGGTTGCACAGCTACCCATGTCATACCTTGGGAGCACGTTTTAAAAGTATACACACTTGGATCAATATTGTAGAAAGGTTGGAGAGGAGGTTAGCAGGTTGGAAGCGTATGTACCTCTCAAGGGGGAGGACGTCTTACCCTCATTAAGTCCACCCTATCGAATCTCTCACCCATTTCTCGTCATTGTTTCCTATTCTTGTCTCAGTGGTGAAAAAATTAGAGAAGATTCAACGGGAATTTCTATGGGAAAGGTTAAGGGAGGAGAGGAAACACCACTTTGTTAATTGGAGTGCAGTTTGTTCTCCCTCAAGGATGGGGGGCCTTGGACTAAGGAGTCTTGTACTATTTAATAAGGCTTTGTTGGGTAAGTGGTTTTGGCGATTCGGCATGGAGAGGGTGAGCTTTTGGAGAGGAATTATAGAGGCGAAATATAGTGTTATGGAGGGGGATGGTGCTCAGTTGTGGATCATGGTTTTTATAGGGTGAGCTTATGGAGGTACATCCGACGAGAGTGGAGAGAATTTCGAGATAGATCGACGTATGTGGTGGGGAACGACAGTACTATCAGATTTTGGGAAGATTGTTGGTGTGGAAATCGATCGTTAAGAGTGGAATTTCCTTTTCTGTATCGTGTTGTTTTGAGTCCATCTGCTATGGTAAATGAAGTCTTGTATATACATAATGAGAATCTCAGCTAGAAAATTGTTTTTGGGAGGAGTTTGCAAGATTGGAAGTTGGATGATTATGCGCTACTTTTGACCTCTTTGTATTAGGGGCACATCAAGGTAGGAGAGAGAGATTGTAGTAGGTGGAGGTTGGCATGGGATAGTACCTTCTCAATTGGCACTTATTTTAGATCTTTATTGGAACCTGTAGAGAGCTCGTTCCCTTGGAAGATGGTATAGAAATGTAAACTACCCCCCTCAGGTGGCATTTTTATTGAGGATGATTGTGAGAGAACAGGTGATGATAGTGGATAACCTCTGAATAAAGGGTTTTTATGTTACGGAATGGTGCTATATGTGTAGGAAGAATGGAGAGACGATTGACCACTTGTTTTTTTATTGTTAAGGTTCTCGTTCCCCGTGGAACGATAATTTGGCTTCTCAACACGTGGATTGGTCATTTCTGCGGAGTGTGGAGCATTTACTGAAAGCATAGAGGATAAAATCTCGTAATAAGGATAGTACATTTGTCTGGAATCTTATTCCAGGATGCATCGTTTGGTGTGTGTGGAGGGAGAGAAACAGCCGTTGTTTTGATGATCATACACGGATAACTGAGCAGATTAAAGAATTGTTTTATACGACATTGTATACTTAGTTTAATTTTGTGGCTTCTACTCATATAGACGGGTTGCCTAATTTTAAGTTGTTTCTTTCTTGTACTAATTGATAATACACTTATCTGTGATTAAGAAAATATTTGATTACCCATAAAAAAAAAAAAAATAATAATAATAATAAAATCCCCTTAGCCATCCATTTTACTGGAATCATTCAAAGGTTGTTTGTAACTGGAAACGTGGGTCCTCCTTTAATTGTTTAAGCTCATTCTCTTAGCACTAACGGTGTTTATTTCTCTCGTCTTTGATTTATTATATTTAAAGACAATGTAGATTTTTTCAGTCTCACTGCAAATGAGGTCTCTCTGTTCATACTCGTTTTGTATGTTTTCCTTATCTGCGTAATTTATCGCCACCTTGGAACTGTGTTCTTGATTGTTAACATGGGCCTCGTCTCTTTGCAGGCAATAAGAACAGGCTGGGTTCATCCAAATATCAATCTTGAAAGTCCAGACAAAGGAGTGGTATGTTCTTTTGCGCCATTACTCCTTTGTTTCAATCTGCAAAAGGTGTAGTGTTACTGCATTAGTGTTACAGCATTCTGTAATGCTTTGTTTTCAGTTGTCAAAAATGAGAGATGTTTGGCAATCTTAGAGGTTCATGTATAGTTTTAATTCCAGAAGAGCATTCATTTTAGATTAGGAGACGTAAACATAAACTGTATCTTTTTTTGATTGTATAACCAGTAAGATTGTCAAACCAGCCTTCATTTTCAATCCCATTTTTCACTTTCAATTGGAACAACCAATAACTGCAATTGGACTAGTTAGTGCGACTTGGTTTTGAACCTTTATTGTCCTCATAGTTTAGCTACTGTACGTATCTTTAGTATACTCGAACTGTCTACATAGCATAGATGATGATCAAACATCAATTCAGGATATAAACATGCTGGTTGGACCCAAGAAAGAAAAACTGGATATCAAGGTGGCATTGTCCAATTCATTTGGATTTGGTGGTCACAACTCATCAATCTTATTCGCTCCATACAAGTAGATCATTTTTGTGCGCTTGAGTTGGCAAATAATTTCTGCAGAAGGTACATAGTATTGTTCGTATTGATTTGAAGTGTAATATCTTGCAGTTACTTTTTATCATGTATCATCTTGTAATCTTGTGGGGACAAAAGCAAAAACTGAACCTTTTAAGTACTCAATTTGTTTTTTTTTGGCTAGTATAAGTGCCTTTTTAAATTACTGCTGATTTTGTAATTCTTCTCCGACCCTTATTTGAGTCGTGCTTTGTGGAAATCATAGTTACCTCCCTCGCATAATCAAATAAATTTCTTGCCTCTGCAGTTTATTTTGGCATTTCACAATGTTAAATCTTGCGCTCAATGAGATGATTGCTTGAGCCGGAAGGAAAGGTGCCTTGAAATGAAGTGGGACGAAAACTCGGTATTTCCTCTTGGATTGTTGTTATATCTTTCTGCCTCCTCTTGACCTCATGCATTGTGACCATAAGGCTTCTGCAGTGATCTAATATGATCTCTTGAAACAACTAACCCTTCAGTTTCCAGTGAGCTGTTTCTAATGTACAATGTACTATAACAGTGATTATTCTTGTTCTCTGATACTGAATTTTGACATGTATTTTACTTTACATGAATTGCATTTTATATCTCAACTCTCTTATTTAATTTGCTCATTCAATGAGCATTTTCAATATTATGCCTTGAGGATGACTCATATTTTTATATTTCAAATTTCTATTTTTGTAGCTAGAAAATTCCAGCCGACGCTCTAATCTATCTTTTTTTTTTGTACATTTTTCTTCTACTTTTACTCTTGCAATTGCAATATTGTCCTCAACCACTCGGTTTTTTATGCTCAAACTTGAAAACTTCAAGTGGATGAATAAGAATCTTGAGTTCTCCCCCATGTCGTCACACGGGGGATAATAGGGACATAAAAAAGGGGATCCTATCAACTTGTTCTGACCTAGGATAATAAGCTCATAAGGAATTAGGTTCAAACTTTCCTCATCCACTTCTTATCAATGGACTCCTATTGTATACGAAAGAACTCATGAATGGAAATGGAAATGGAAAAGAGATGTAACTCCAGTTTCTTAGGAAATAATATATCAACTAGAAGTTAATTCGATAAGTTTAGTGACTTTTTTCTATTATAAGAAAGAAAGAAGTTCAAATTCGTCTTTATTGAGCTCTTTTATTCTGGTTCATGGTTTATCTTCGCTATATGGTTCATTTAGGGGAGAGATCGAGCTTCAAAACTGTTTATCATCCTAGCGTTGAGCTATTTTTCCGTAGGATCTCTCTTATAGTATCGTCATCGATGTAGAGTTTAACCACCAACTTTTTTTGATAATGCTTTCGAAAAATGAATTTCATTGATTGATTCAGAACACGTGTTCCTTGATAGTATCTATGGATACTTTCCAAGTTAGAAGAAAGGGGGAATCACTCAAAGAGTTGAACAATGGTTTTTTGTGTTGTCAAAGATTTGACCAATGAAAATAGATGGCGAGTGCCTGAGCTTGCATGATAAAGGTGTATTACGTGCATGGTTTTCATAAATGAGTGACAATAAAATTTGAACTCAAAATGTTCTTACATCCTTAAATGTTAATAATTTGAGTTTTATCTTAAAAAGTTCTATTTTTATCTCTAGTTGATGTGACAATTTACAATTAACACTCTGATATTGTTCAAATGTCAAATTAAAACTTTAAATAATTATAGATATATAAATTCGCTTTATTAAATTATCTTTAACGTGATATGATTTTTGGGTTGTAAAATGTGTAATGAAAGAGTACAAAGGGTGGTTGGAACGTTGGATACTTGGATTAAGCAAATGAGACTTCACATGTCACGTCTCTTGGTCGTGTGCTTTTGGGCATTTTCAATTTCATGCAATTTTTGTGAAGCATGTCTTTGTAAACATCACAATAGAATCGTACAAAATTTGCAAAGATTTGACGTTCCATCTCAAAAAGTTAACCAATTAGATGAAATATTTAAATTATTTAAAAAAAATTCCTCACATCATGTCGACAGCTTTGAAGCGTTAACCTATCTATTCATTCTTCTCAAAAAGGAATCTATCAAGACTCGAGCTCTTCCATTGGATTAGGGGCCATTGCCTTACATGATCACAACCACATTGAGAGTATATAAACGATTTTTAGGTGCCATCAATATTAACTAAGATTCACACGTGCGACCCTGATAGCATTTATAGAAAAATTTTGTTCCATCCTAAAAGATTATCTCATTACGTGCTTATTTGAGTCCCATTTTTTGTTAAGAATATATTTTGAAATAGTAGATTGATAGAGAATATGTGGTTAAAAAATAAAAAAAAAATTTAGATTTGCATGTAATATTATTTTATAGAAAATTTTGTGATTGAAAAGAAAACAGAAAAAATGTATTTAAGAAATATTAGAGATCAGACAAAGACTAAGCGTGAAAATGCAAGTTTGCTAGTATAACCCACCTCTCATAGCTCTAAGCAGGCGTAATTTTGTATCCTATAGGATGTCTTTTCTTTCATATTCATCTAATGATGTGAAAATGTTTTATCACTTGTAATCCAATGAATCCACCTATGTTTGTGCAAATTACAAAGGAGATTGGAGTCACTTTCACGTGGCTTTGAGTTTAATCTGTTTTTGACTACTTTGAGATGATGCTTCAATCAAGCAAGTGGTTCTTTTGTTTACAGCTTATGTGCCCATTGGTTTCACTAAATATATTGTGGGCCTACTAACATGCTTAGCATTTTTTTCCCCCTCATGTAGCCTTCTATTGTTCGGTACTATTGCCATGCTTCATTACTTTTTCATATTTTTGTTGTTGCAACCTTATTTAGTAAGGAGAAATCAACAAGTCGACGAGACGGAGGTTAGAGAAGAGAGATTACGGTCGGCCGACGGAGATGGTATGGCAAAAGTCAAGTAGTTGGAGTTCGATAAAGAACCTTTTAGAATTAGAATGTCACAACCATGTTGATATCATTTTGAAAGTCAAGAAAGAGGGTTGCATACTAATTCAAAAGTTACCAACAAGGTATTTGAGGTTAAAATTTGGAAAGCCTATGCGAGAGTCAAAATAGAATGATCTAGCAGCCTAGCTAGGAGTTGTAGAGCTTGTTCCAATCTAGATAGAAAACTAACTAAACATAGACTCGAAGTTGACAAAATTAGCGTAATATGCTTTAGCAATTAACTCAATAACATCACATCGCTCTTATAGATGCCAAGATCAACAAATTCATACCATATTAGTGTGCATTAGATTCCAATTAGATAAGACGAACACCACATATTTGTTATATATTTATACCATAAATATAAAATGTGAAAGAAATAATCAATTTAAATGAAGTGCCCAAGTGGTGGAAAATGTGACATTTGTGTGGGACGTCGAAAGTTCGGGTTAGTCCCCACGCAATTCTTGAAAAAGTATTTGATTTGGGCCTTGGGCTTTCTTGACTAAAATAATAATAATTATTATTTATTTTTGAAATTATTTAATGGGTCAAACTAGCAAGTATTTTATGATCATTTTTTAACAACCCACTACTCACACTCATTAAAATTCTAAATAATTCTCTGATCATGGAGGAGACAGTTACTTCTAGTTTTCCTATATAAACTCATATCTTGGTTTAGAAAAAACACACATTAAAGAAAACAGAAAATCGTTTGAAACGAAATCTTATTTCTCATATTCTAAATTTTTTATACTCAAGTTTTTACTTATATTATGGAGTACATTTGAGAGTCTTGAAAACCATTCATGATTGCTGCACAAATAATTTATGATCGTTGTATTCTGGGATTGATTGCCCACGGAAGTCGCAGCAGTTATCGACAGACAATTTCACTGTAGGACATCGTACTGTCACGAAACTCGATTAGACGATAAGTTTTAGTTCGGCATTTTATTGTTCTGCACCTTACTGCAACTGATTATTTTTTTAACAATATTCACATATGAAATAACTGCGCATGTCTAATTATCAAGAGACGCAACTCTAACTTAAGATATCATATTCACATATGTACTTCTTAACTATTCCATACTCCAATATGATAAATCTATTTATTTATGAATTAATCTACTTGTACAATTGTTGTTGACATTAATGGATGACAAAATTGCTGTTGTCAAAATCTGATCCATTAATTTTAAAAACAATTTTTGAAATGGATCAATGTGATATTGATAAGTATGATTGTCAACCAATATTCTATGAAATGATTGTACAAGTAGCATGACTTTTTATGAAATCGATTACTAACTCTTTTTCTACCTTTGATCGTTATGCTCAGTGATCACGATTCTATCTTGTAAATTTTGCAGTACTATCAAGTTCACAAAATGGAACAATTTCCAACGTCTGCCATATTTATCTCTACATCGATTCACAAATCTCAGCACACAGTTTGATGGCCCCACTTAACAAAAGGAGATTTTTCTATTTGGCCTATCACTATTCCTTTTTATTGAAAGATTTATATTACTCTTAATGAAATGATTCTTTTTATATTGCAACATATATTCTAATCTTTTAAACATTTTATCTTCTATTTTGAATATTTGAATATAAATCCATTCTATGATCTAATAAATAAGAATAATCTGCAACATAAATTTCATATTTCCTAATTAAAATACTATATTCTTCAAATGGTAAATTTACATTTTCTAATTGAGAAATAATATTCTTTATTTTTTGTAATATTCTTTCTAATAGATTATCTAATCCTTCAATTATATATCATGACAGTTATTCATACAAATAATCATCGATTAATCCCTACGATTCTTTAAGATCTTAAAAAGATTTATTCTAATTTTAGCAAAAGTTTAATAGTTTACCTTAAGTTTGATCTGGACTTTTATTCTTAGAACCGAGTGACCTTCGAGATCTGAATTTGTAAACTGCTTCTTTCAACGGCCTTCTACCTTCATGGAATTGTTACTATTTTAACTACTTGCTCTCACTGTATCAACTTCTAATGAATAAAATTCTAGACTTTTGTTAAAGAAAAACTTTCTTTTTACTAAAATAAGAATGAAACTTTTTATCAGATCCTTCAAGAATCTATTAGAATAAAGATTTAAAAACTCATATTCATATAAAAATGTTGGAGTTTTTATTTCTTTCAGAATTTATATAAGACTTCTATTTGGTACAAAGGGATTTCCAGAAAAATTGATTTTTTAAACTGGGAATGGTTTTAAGAGTAACTATTGCTTTCAACTCTAGATTTCAAGACAAGATGAGGTGATCTCTATCTATGACTATGTCTCTATTTATACAAGTTTATGAGACTATTACATCATTGAGTACATCAGTAAAGACACACTTGCTTTTCTATTATTTTTCTCATTGGGCCTACATCTTCACATGCTGCTTCAACTTTTTATCCAAAGAGCATCTTTTTCTATTATTGCTCTTTTCCTTCAATGTCTTCATATGCAGCTGTATTATTGTTATCTATACACCTTTGTTAAAGGTACTCTATTATTGTCTTCTTCCTTTATTTCTTTACATGCAGGTGGGGCATTCCCTTAACTGGCAAGATTCTTTTATAGTGGTAAGACATCTTGAAAATTGATGTATATCAAATCTTGTAATATAATCCTTTAAAATTTCTGATTTCCCATATCCTCCATTGGATACCAA